TTTTGAACCGCGGGCATCGGGAGTGACTAAGCTTAAAGCCGAGAAGTACGTAGGCAATACATGCCACTAACGCTGGCACAAACACATTATCATCGCAATACATTCGTATATAGTGTAGGACTCTAGGCTATAACCAGTAAAAAATAACCTGTATATAAATATAATTGCACACACTCAGCCTGCAGGGTTATATTCATTTCTGTCGATACATGAGCGATTATGAATTAGTTGTAATAGTGGGTTAATTTACGGTCCCAAGTAAACGATTACTATATGTTACTAACCTTAGCTATATCAGCGATACGTAGCACGTATGACAGTACTAACAGGCAAAGTGCCGTACCTTACAACACAGACTGCAAGTTACAACTTCCCGTCACTTAGCTGCAAGAAACGGTAATTGGCTAGGTTAGATATACTAGGGTGTAATTGACGTTTGTGTTGTGGAGGGCAGCTATGGATGGAGGCTGCAGCTGGGTAATCATATAGGGGTTGCGGTTGATCCGTCAAGAGTAAACTGCGAGAGCGAGTTCCAAGTTCTTCTTGCGAACGTTTTCTGCAACGAAGAGCAATCAGAGGCAAGCAGGCACTGTGAAGCGTATATCAACTGTAAACAAACGTCGGCGCCCCATTGGCGCGTACACTAAAACCATAATAATAGATTAAATAATAACATCAACATAATAAATATATACATAATAATATCATATCATAATAATACATTATATATTTACAATTAACATAATCATTATATCATTTATATATTATACATTATACATAATGAATACATATAATCGATTAATACATTATATAATAATACATAATAATAACACAGATAATATCACTAACGTAACACTCTATTATTATGTGTTAGTGTACGCGCAATGGCGGCGCCGTGTGTTTACAGTTGATACGCTTCAAGTGCCTGTGATCAGGGCCCCCCCTCGACCGCAGGGGTAGACGAAGTTTTTGCTATAAGCAGCACGCTGGGACGATGTAATAATTACATATATGCAAAAATGCTGTACGTACGCTCTCAAAACGATTTCAAAAGAAATACTCATCCAACAGCTTCGATCTTTGTTTCTATTTGAAGAACAGTGTTGACTTCTTATGAAAACATAATGTCTTTCTTCGTAACCGAGCTGTGTCACGCGAAATAACACAGAGACTGACGAAATTCTCGCCACGACGCGACGATATATTCTCTAACTATCACGTGATAATCATAATGGCAAACATTAGAACATCAGAATGGTGCGTCAAGATGGATACGGGCAGTGACGAGTGCAGGGCTAGACTGCTACCGACCTTCACTCAGCCAACTATCGTTGGCTATACTGAAGTGAGTTACGCTAGCGTGTCGAACTGTGCACCGCGCGGCAGTCTAGGTCATCGAGCCGAGCGTTTTTTTTTTTTAAACTTGAAAATGGTACGTAGATGGACTCGTTGCGCCATCTATGGGTGGCGATAACTTCCAAATTAATGTCAGGCAATGAACGAGCGAAAAGAGAAAATTATTTTTCTACACTAAAACGACGCGCGCCGAACCGCAAAGAAACAAAAAGTAGCATTTGGATTTATGCTCGCCCTACGTGCATAGTCGAAAGGCTTCTGCAAGCGCCACAACTCCTCAATTGACCGATTATAGGCCTTTATCACAGAACCATGGAAATTGTTCTAAATATAGAGCAGCGAATTCGATCAAAAGGCGCCGCGAGGCG